TAAAAAGATTTTTGCCCAAGGAAATTGATGTCAATAAACTATGGCCAAGATTTAAATATGCCTGAAGCCAAGTTTTATTCTTAAATTACCTAACTATATCTTTCTGTATTAATTTGCCTGTGGAAAATTTTATTCATGAAATGTTATGTGAAATAGAATAATTAGCTAATATTTGCAGATTAATTAAATACAATAATTTTGCCCAGTTCAGTAATAATGGTATTAATTTTTTTTCATCTTTCTGTACATGATGCCAAACACCCAGATGGAATCTGGGGGTAAAAGAGTCAAAAGCTCAGATGTTTTTAAAGATCCAGATGTATGGTGTCAAGTAAACAAAACATCAAGGTTTTTGACTAATTTTCTCCATTTTCATCCAGATGTTTGGAGTCATATAGACAGTCAATCTGTTCAGTCATAATCACAATGTTCTCTAATATCATTTGCCAATATTTGAATCCCTTCTTCACCAAATTATCTCTAAAAATCCTGTTTAATTCATTCATGAGGAAAAACACAAAGATATTTTCTTCAGAAACAAAAAATATAATGCCCAGTGGACTCACAGCATCACATGAGCCAGAATAGTGCCTGAGTCTTTACATTGAAAAACACTTCCTCTCTGCATTTTTAAATGATGAAAGATAATTCAACTTAAATGGTTGGAATGGCAACTTAATTTTAACGGACATGCACGTGATAATTCCAATTCTAGTAAGTAGTTTAGAAGAATAACAGGTTCTCAGTGTAAATGATGGCCGTCTTTTCAATGGGTTCCTTTCCCGACTTACTCACTTATTACTAAATCCCAAAAGAGATGACCTGACATTTTAGGAACAATTTCTGCTCTGGTGACTTTGGATATACAGAAGCACTGACCTAGGAATTTAAAGATTTGATGTTGATCCCTGCACCTCCATTTTCTAACTGTGTAAATGTGAGTCACTTAAGCTCTGAGCCTCAATTTTCTCTTCTTTTAAAATGGGAGTAATAACCCTGCCCCCAGTTAACCTCAGGATCCGTTGAAAGAACTTTGCAACTGCAAAATGCTTTGCAAATACAAAATTATCATTAATATATAAAATATTTTATCATTAACTTTATGTATTATTAGTGTTTAAATATTGCTATGTAAAATAGTACTACAGTTACTGTTAATATGGAATCTAGGGACACAATAGAGATTGCCACACTCAAAAAGATCAGGTCAACTATTTGCCGTTTAGAAATTGTATACAGGAATGATTCTACTCCCTGCATGGGCAAAACAATACCAGATTCCACTCCCCTGTACACCTCTGCCCTTCCTGCACTCACCTAGCTGAACTGAGAAATAGTTTTAACACAACTCTCTTTACGGTAACGAAATAGGCTAATCATAGGTTCCATTGACTGGGTCTCTACTACAATAAGGGCACTTTTGCTAATCTAGAACCAGATTCTTGACCCACTGGTGGACAACTTTGATGGACTCACACACCCTCCTGGCCAATGGCAAAGACTCAAGCCTTTGCATATAGCAATTTTGTGGCTGCTAAATATTCAAACAGACCTCAGGGTTTCTATCAAGCGAGATTGCATTCATGTTTTTTTTGCTATTAGTAAAATGTTAAGTTCTGGGAAGTAGTCAGCAAAAAACAGGCCAAACTTCCTCCCCAAGATCTAAGATGGTTTGTAAGTGAGAAATTAACTCATGCACCTGTAAAATGCTAAGCACTAAAAATCTTGCAAGCATTTTAATCTTATACTTTTTGTCATGGCTCCCAAGGTTTTTGGGAAAAACCTCAAAACTGTTGAGTTCTACTTTTAAGATATTGAAAGGTTCTAGAAGTTCAAAAAAGGGAATAAAATAAATGAAAGGAAGACAGCCTAGTTAGTTTTAAATTTTAAAAAATATCTGCAGTGTCAGAAGGCTACAGTAAAAAAGCTCACAAACTAAGAAATTTTTTTAAAAGTTTAGTCCAACTTTTTTCTCAATTCTGTGACTGGAGAAGATGGAATGAACAATCAAGTTTTAGTTCTTCAACTTTTTAAAGTCAGAAAACACCCATTAGCATGTTGCTATGTTTGACCACTTGCTTTGAAGAGCCAGAAATCAATACAAAAGGCAACAACGATAATAAAAGGAAAGATTTCTACCATCATAATAGGGAAAGGTGTGTGAGCTGGAAGAAAGTACAGTACAGAAGCCCATGACAAGTCATGATAAATGGGTCGTTATAAAATTCATGTTTAGGCAGCACCAGGCCGGGGATAATGCCATTCGTCATGGCAACACTAGGCCGCTAATGAGCCCTCATTGCATATTCATGTCTGTGGCGTTTCTTCTCTCCCTCCCACCCTGAACTAGTGCCTGGAAATATCTCCACCTCTAGCTGAAGCACAGCTTAGGCCTTCTTCTTCGTCTTCTTTTTTTTTTTTTTATTTGTTATGTTGCAGCAATTACACTGTAAAAGTGCTGCCCAAGATTGATTGCTCTGATCTGTAGTTCAATTGTAAATTAGAATACACATCCCCCCAGGGACACACGGCCCCTATTTGTGATTAAGAAAAAAGCCCCATAATAGACTAATAGCTAAAGTTCTCTCTCTTTTACTTTCAGGCAATTAGCTTGATGAAATGGCCTCTTTTTGTGTACCCTGGAAGTGTAAACCGATATCATAATGAAGTATATGATGTTTATTCTATTATTTTCACCTTGCCGGGTATGCAGGAATGCATAAGTAATGGCTGCTTTGTCTGGTACCTTTACTGATTCACAACTAAACTATTTCTTAAAGATGCAGTGTGTGCATTCTGAGGCTTGAGTTAAGCAACCCTTAACTGGGGGTTAACCTCCATGCAACGGACTTTCTACTAAAGAGGAGCAAAACAGTTTCCTAGGTAATGGTGAGAGCACTATTGTGATGTTGAAGAGCCAACTAGCTCCTGGGCAGCTCTGGGGTAGATGAGGTGACAGCACTCGGGATCAGTGACGACCCAGGGGTACTTTGGCAAAGTTTTTGTAGTGACTTTATGCCCAGGGAGACTCCAGCTGACCATAATGGGTGCTTCCTCTCCCTTAATTAATTGTGGAACACCAACTCAGTCTCCACTCCTGGGTGGGTGAAGCTATCCTGACACAATGTATTACATAGCAAGTGGATTGCAGGCCCTCCCCCCAAAAAGAGTCTTGTCTTTTCACAATCCAAAATTTTGATCTCATAAGTTGACAAGAAAACATTCTTTAGCTTCCTACCTGCACCAGCTGACAGAGTTTTTGACCAGCCAGCCAATGAATACAATCATTTTGTAGCTGGTGCATTTTAAAGCATTTGTGTTTTTCACATGCAATATTTTAATATTTGTTTTCTCTTCACTCATGAGGTTCTGGAGAGTAAAGAAAAAAAGTATTCCAACTGGCAAGATAGAAAAGAAGAAGAAACAAAACACAACAATTTATCTTGATTTATAATGGTTTGCAGTGGGTAACTTATCAAGGTGTTAATTACTGTTCCAATCCTACTGTCCAATTCTCGGCCACTCATCAATAATTCAGTTTGTATTACCCACCAAACACTTCCTGGGCTTCTGTTGTCTGAATAAATCCATCCCTGGCTCTTTAATATGAACTCTATTTGAGTTTTTAGAAAATTATTTTAGTAGCAAAAGGATCTCACTGATTGTTTAATACTGAATTGAATGTGTATTTTTAGATTTGTTATATTTTGAAATATAACAATATTGTAACAATAATGTTTGAGATAGTCTTTTGTTACATAGAAAATGTGTTTGCATTTCCTTCCAGTTACTCTAGCTGCTTCCTGGTTAATAAAACCTTTTGGCAAAGTTTATTACTATATCCTGGAAAGTGAGTCTAATGTTACATAATTTCCAAAAATACTGCAAAATGAGCTACCCAGAGATATTTCAGGAAAATTCACTTGATACTTTTCTTACTAAAAATCAAAAGTTTTTACCAGTCTTTATATGGGTGCTGACTTTCTCTTTAATTTTTACAACGTTGAACTGCCGTGTAAATTATAAACCTGCAACATAACAAATGTAAAGTTTCACTCGTCTTAGAAATGTATGAACGTCCAGCTGCCACATTGCTGCCATATTTGAAATATGCTATTGTAGACTTTCAAGTGGCATTGAGCCTGGGAAGGTCTCCTCGCTTACAGCACTTGCTTGCTGTAACCTGTCACATTTTTTGAGTACATTTATTCTATAACAATAATGCCTTATATTTACAGAAGCCTTCATAATTTTTGAAGTTCTTTCATGTAAATTGCATCATAGAAATAATTCTATGAGATAGATGAGGCTAATAATTTTATTACCACCCCAAAGCTAGAGGAGGAAAAATTGAGGTTCAGAGAGGTTAAGTCACTTGCCCAAAGTTATAAGGCAGTAAATTCAAAATTGAACCTTGTCCCCAGGCCTTTAGCTCCATAATCTGAGCTCTTTCTGGCAAGCCATGCTGCCTCTTCACTAGCTATGCACTCACCATAAGCAGCAACTTACCAGAATCTCACAGCTCTTAACATAAACAAGTCTTGCGATCTTTATACCTGGGCAAGATTTACACACACACACACACACTCCTCTTGATAAAAACCTACAAAGAAAAGGATGGAATTTACACTGCATTGTTACCTACCTACCTAAATTTAAGATAAGCTATATTTGATTACAAACATATGCTTAGACTGGGTACATACCAGTCACAAAATGGAAGCAATTAGCTTGATAACTCAAATTTGAGAAATGGGAGAGGACCACTGTTTTCAAGAGACATGGGCTTGTATCCAAATTTTCCAGGGATTTGGTTGAGTCTTTTCACCAAACCTCTCTCCAGATCTTTGCACAAGCTACTCCCTCTGCCCCACCCTCACTCCTTGTCACTTATCCCCATAGAACTAACTCAACCCTGACCATCAATCTAGACTCAGCTCTAAGATCACATCTCCTTGGAGATGTTCCCTGACTTCTATCTCTATCCCTGTTCCAAATACCTCTTTGATTTGATCTCCACAAACGAGCCTCCTTCATCCCGGTAATGAACTCTCCCCTCTTGAAGCCAGTGAAGACAGGACTTGGATCTAGAATCTAGCAGATGTGAACACTTCCAAGAGTGTGCTGGGCCTGTGTCTGCTGAAGTGCCTCCCACTCTCAAGAACCCCCACATACAGAAGTGCCAACAGGGTCCTACGGTCATGTGAGATATTGTCTATAAGCGAAAATGAGTGAAGGGGACAGGGGATCTCCCCGAATTATTTTTACAACTTCTTATGAGTCTTAAAACTGTTTTAAAATAAAATATTATAACTTTTTAAAAAACACATTTTTTGTTCTTATATTTATGTCTTTATATATTTTTAATTTTTATATTTATATATTTTTATTTTCATATATATATTTCTAGAATATCTAAGAAAAATAGTAGTGATTATGCACTAGCACACAGGAAAGGTAATGCCCTGATTCTGGGCACTGTTCTTTTGGTCTGGCCAAGTTGGCACTTAAAATATGCTGGGAGAGGAGGAAGATGCATTACTTTTGCCTGATTCAAGCACATCCTCAAAATGATATTTTCATAAACAAAGTGCCGACGGCTATGGTCTTATCTTCTCTTTTCCTTTTATCCTAATTCAGGTCAATAACAAGTATTTCTGCTCTCTTCTGCACATTCCAGATTTTGGAAGAGAGAGAGCAATTACAAGCTACAGAGAACTGTTAGTGAAAAATTCACAAGAAGCCAGAGTGCCTTTAAACTTCTTTCTACTTAACATTGTCCTTTTTAAAAAATGTCAATTTTAGAAAGAGATGTTTTAAATCAATAAGGTTGGTGTTGACGCTCCAACGGTGTTACTGGAGTTTTTAAATTACATGTTCAAGAGCCCGCTGTTGGTTACATGGATAACAACGTGGGTCATTACCTCAAAAATCCAAAACTTAGTAGGCAATATTTCTACTATTAGGAGATCTGAAAACCACCAACAAGAAATTCATATGCACCTACATTAAGGTAAAATTTCAGTTTATCTTTAAACTAATTAAACATGTAAGTTCAACAAGGACTCCCTCAGCATAAAAAGCTACAATTTCTAATACTATTCGATTGATAAGCTTCCTGTAGTCCATATGATGAAAATTATGAAAAAGCCTGTAGACATCATAAAGTCAAATTCAAAAATGAATGACATTCCCCCACATTCTTCCTTCTTTTTCTGAAAATTGCAAACCCTTTAGTAGGTACCTCTAAGAAGCGTATCTGCTCATAAGTTCCCGTAGTTCTGTGATAACCTGTTTAAATTAAGTTCAGCTCAGGGTATGGCTCTACAATGCCATTTTAGTGACCCAGAGGCTTGTCCAGAAAAGATTCTGAGGGATAAAGAAGGATAACCAAGTGCAGGAAAAGAATACCTCGCTGATTGCTAGAAAAGCTCATTAGAGGAGGGCATCCATCTTTACTTGTTCAGGATAACATCTACAAGCTGTAAAGGCAGAGCTTCCCTTAATAAAGGAAGGCAGGAAAAATGCAAGAATTTTTAAAATATTTGGCTTATTGATTCATGAATCAAAGAAGAAGAAACTATAATTACCTCTGGTTCTATCAGAACTGAGAGATTTCTTCCACACAATCTTTTGTGCGGCAAGAACAAAGCTTTCTTCCAAAGAAAATTCACTTTAAAATATCCCAAAAGAGATAAAATACCTGCAAGATTCTGCAGCTCTTTAATGCTTGCCATGGGCCAAATTGTGCAATTAGAATCAGTCACTTTAAGTGCTGAAGTCGTATAATGCTAATAGATCACTTTATAATGTGAGCAGTTTTTAAAAGTCGTATTTAATTTTTCATTATTACTGTACTGAATGCTAGTTGTGTCTGTCCAGTCAGCTACAGATTCTTAAGTCCAGAGCAGGAGGGGACTGGCTGCTGCTTGCTGAGGCATGGCTCAATTCTGGATTTAATTCTCAGAGACCTGAATTAGATCTCTAAAATAGACCATGTTTCAACTGTCTTCCTAAATGTGTTTATTTTTATTTTCAAACCAAATGATGAGGGCTCCTTTTGGTTTCCTAATTACTTTATTTCAAAAAATACAGATCGAGGCAAAAAGCCTCAATGATGTGTGTGTGTGTGCATGTCAGAGTGTGTGTATGCACACACACACATGTGTGGTTTTCTTTAAGAAAATGAAATGAACCATAAAATAAGCCCTTAACAGTAACCTAAGAAATAAAACAAAATCATTTACAACACATGGGATTGTTGCAGGATATGTCAAGATTAGATGGTTCAAGGGAGGTATCCTGAATGTGGAAGCAATTATAATGAAATTCATGACTCATTAGCAAACATTCCATATTGTGTTTCTCATTTCTGGGTCAATGTTACTAGGAAATATAGACTTAAGATTTAGATGTTTCATTGACTTCAGCACTAGATTATAGATAGTTGAACCATACAATTACATAAAGCAAAGACTCCACGGTTTTGAAGTTCTTCATTTCTCAGATGCAGGCAATTTGGTCCTTAAAGGAAGTATGAAAAAAATAACCTCAAAAGTACATTGGTATGAATTAAGTCAGTGATAGAAGGGGTGCCTGTAAATGTAAAGTAAGAATTGCACGGTGCAAATACACACTGGCGGGTGTTGGTGGGGATTTTGCATGCACACTACTTGGCATGCAAAATGGCTGGTGAACTCAAGTACCCAATACTGTACGTAATGGGAACCAGATGTCTAACAGAGAGAGGAAAATATTTTATAGCAATAAATGTGACATTGACTCTTAAAGAGTTTGCTGCTTTTAAACAACTTCCCAGTCTTACTTTTCCTCATATTTTAAAATAGTTTAAAGTAGATCGTGTAAAGAAATTATTTTCATATTTTAAAAGTAAAAGTGTTTAACTTGCCATGAACTTCTAAAATGCATACATAAGGAGAAATGATATGAAAAAAAAACAATTTTGGAAGTTATTCATTTACCAAAGTACTGTGTTCAGCAGTGCAAAAAAATATTAAGGCAAATAAAGCATAATTCCTCTTGCCCTTTAAGAACTTAAAATATACTAGATTTGATAAGATGTGTACAGCTGTTATGGGGACAAAACAAAAAGCAAAAAGCAAGCTCCAGGGAAGAGACACAAAGTGCTCTGAGAATTCAAAGGAGGAAGAGAAAACTCCTGTGGTTGGAAGATTCCATGAAGGAGGGTCCCACGGATTCATCCTCCTCCGTGTCTCCACATCCGCCCCATCCTCTGAGCGCACCAACACTGCCCTGAAGGCCTCCGACTCTCTTGCCTGGCTAAGGCAGTGGTCTCCCAGCATCTCTGCTCTCTCAGCATCCCCCCACCCGCTCCCAATGCAACCTGGACTTTGCTGCTGGGGCTGTGGTTCTGAAGCACTGGTGCCACCTGGAAAGCAGAGCACCCTTGTGATTAAGTTGCAAGCTCTGTAGTTAGAGCTGGAATCCACTTTCTGCTTTGCCATTTACTGGTTGTGATCTTGGAGAAGTCACTTAACCAACCTCCTTCTACCTGCATTTTCTCATCTGTAAGGTGAGGATAATAAAAGTACATGTCTCATGGGCTTGGGGTCAGGATTTATTGAGGTTCTGCACATAACGTGCTTTGCAAGATGCCACCACGGAGGCAGGGCATTGTTAGTAGAAACTCTTCTAGCTGTTTTCCTATCAATCATCAGATCCAGTTTTTATAGAACAAAATCTCAAGTCCCTATTTTGGTGCACCAGGCTGCTCATGAGCTGGTGCTTGCATGCTTCTCCAACTCTTTTTCTCAATCTCTTCCCCCAGTAACCAACTCTCCTCCCATCCTTGTCTGTTTGTCAGTGTCCAAGAAGGCCCTCTGTGCTCAAGCCTCTGTACCTTTGCACACGCTATTCTAGCTGTCATGGATACTCTACTCCCTGCCTATCTACATAGAAAATTCTTGCTTCCTCTGGTCTCCCCTCCAGCAGATCTCTCTGTGCCTTCCCTGATATCCTGTGAAAGAATAAGGGCCCCCTTTACTAGGCCAATGGTTGCAAACTCATGGCCCACACAGATAGCATAAATAAGTGAAGCAGAACAGGGAAAACAGTAGGGAGTGGTGGGGATTGTGGCAAAAAGGAGAACCCATGCCCTGGTTAAGGGGCAGCCACTTCTCACTGCTGCCATGGTAAAATGAGGGCCCAGGATTGCCAAAACTTTCACTTTTTTCAAGATAAGACAAATCTGCATTTTCTACCTCAAATCTTCAGTTGCTAATTGTTGGCAACTAAATCTTCTTTTTTAAGGCTATAATTATTGGCCAGACAGAACCCCCTGGGGACCCAACTGCTAACTGTGTGCAGACCTCAACTCTTGAATCATGTTACTGAGGGATTTCCTTACAGGTGCACTCCTCCATCCTGGCAAATTGAACATTGTCCTATAACTGTTTGCACATCTACTTCTCCAACAGACTATGCTCCTTGAGGACAAGGACATCTTAGGTTTTAATTGTCTTTCCAGCACAGTGTGTGTCTCAGAGTAGCATCTCACTGAATTTCATATTGATATTTCCTGAGCCTGGAAGCCAGGGTAGGATCTGCAGATGGGAGATCATTCCAGGCATGTCAAAGAATCAGGGTGTTCTTATTCCAAACATCTCTATTTCTAGATATCATAAGCCTTGGTCAGTAACTGAGCGCCTTGGAACTGTCTGGAACTCTTCCTACAAAGCTCCAAAACCCACTGCGTGGTTAGCAACACTGGAGTCAGCTCTAAAAATATAAACATGGTCTATAAACCTAGTCTATATATAAACTTAATCTGCACCTGACATGTGAGTGAATAACCAAATGAATGAGTTAAACCTACCTTGAAAAGCCCCAACTCAAATGTCAGAAGTGACACTGTTTTAATTTTGTTGAAACATGAGCATAGAGCAAATCCTAGACCCAGAAAGAGACACATTATCTCTGAAACTGTGGACAAGAAGAAGAAAATGGCAAAGGCTAGGATGTGGACATGTAGAAGATTCAGTGAAAGTAATGACTATACATCTTTTTAAAACTTTTCAAATGCAACTTCTAGCCACTTATCTCAAGAAATAATCATGCATAAATATTTGACTGTAAGGATGGTCATCACTGCTTTGTTTGTGAGGTCGAAAATATA